CTCGGCGAGGAAACCAATATCATTGGTGTTACTAGAATGTTGGCCCCATTTTGGCCTCCTGAGGGGGGACCCTAATTAAAGCTCACCTCTTGTTTGATCGATCTCCTCCAAGATGGCCCCAAGAAGCGCCCAGAAGGCCCCAAGAGGTCCCAAGATGGCCCCAAGATGGCCCCAAGAGGCCCCTCCCCCTCCCCTCCCCCTCCCCTGGCAACCCCGCTGGCTCGCCATCGCTCGGACGTCCATTCCCTGTGCATTTGTCGGTTCCGTGCGCGTATTTGTTTCTCAAGGCGAGCAAAACGGCTCCTCGATGGTCCTGGCCGAGAGAGGAAAAAAAACACATCCGAGCGATGCCAAGCTGGCTGCTGTGCTGGAGCCCCGGCAATGGCGCGGGCACTCCGGCAGGGGGGCGCCGCGCCCGTCCTCGAGGACCTCGGGCGTGACCTTCGCGCCGTTCCGGCTGAGGGCCTGTCCCCGAGGTGGCAGCGCGCGGAGGAGTCGGAAGGGGACGACGGCATAATTGGCCCAGGTAGGGTGGGTGGGCATCCGGGTTTTGCTCACCCCCACAGTCTTGACCTCTTGCTGCCTTGCTCGCGCGCCGCACGGCACGCGCGTGGGACACCGCAGCCTCTTGGCCCACAAAAGGACCTAGAGTCCGAAACGCGTCGCCAGCTAAAAGTGGTTGAGATCGGTAGTACACCAGGAGATGTCCCGAGACATGCTGCATCCTCGGGGGACCTCGTCCGTCCTGTCGCGGCCCTGTTCGCGCCGAATCCGCGCCGGATCCATGTCGGACTCGTGGGATCCGTGCCGAATCCGTGTCAGCTCCGCGCCGAAGCTGTGCCAAATCCGCGTCGAGTCCGCATCGAGCCCGCGTCGGGCACAAGAAAAGACACCAATTCTGGGGGCAGGAGAGGCGCCGGGAAGATGCAAAGTAACTTGGCGGTGCGCACAAGGGGATGGAGGGAAAGCGGAGGGCTTCTCAGAAGGAGGCTGCTTCTTAGAAGGCGCCAGCCTTACGCAGATAAGGCCCGCGCCTTCTAAGAAGCAGAGGTGCTTCTAAGAAGCCCTCCCCCCTCCCCCCACCCACCTATGCGCGTGGCTGAATAATCTGAGCCGATGATCCTCAAAAACTATGTTAGCGCCAACGTGTGCTGGTCCGTCGAAGCCCTTCAATCCGCTACCAGGCCTTGTGCCCAATGGGCGTGTTAGTAGGCTTCCTGTTCTAGGCCCCCCCCTGGCCCAGACATGCCTCTGAGATCGCCCCATGTAAAATTGCTTTCCGGCGCTGTTTTCTGCATGCAGACAGGAAGTATGACCTCCAAGACAGTTTCCGAAGCAGTCAAGATGACACCAAGACGGCCCTGAGACGCTCCAAGAGGGCACCAGGACAGCTCAGAGAGGCCCCCAAGACGGCCTCCGAAGGCGTCTGACAGGCCAAGAGGCCCTATAAGACAGCCCAAGCGGCCCCAAGAAGCACCCCAAAAGCCCCAGGAGGCCCCCACAAGAGGATCTCAAGAGGCCTCCTCCTCCTCCTCCTCATCCTCCTCCTCCTCCTCCTCCTCCTCCTCCTTCTGCTCCTCAATGCCGCGCGGGCGAACGCGAGGTCGAGATCACGCCTCACCTCAATTCGAAGCACTCGCCGTGACCTCCTTCCTTCCGCGCGGGAGAAGACGAGAGCGAGTTCACGACCTGTCCAGGTTCCGACGGATCGCCGACCTGCAAAGGGGCGTGAACTCGACCTCCTTCCTACCGCGCGGTCGAAGACGAGCTTAAATCGGCTACACGCAACGGGTGACCCTGGGTGAGAGTGACCTTTGGTGCGCGGCGCTTTGAGGGCCGTGGGGGGACCAGCACACAAGCGCACGCGACGCTACTGTCGCACCCCGCTCGGCGAGCGGGGGACCCCAATGGGCCCGCACCGAAGGTCACTCCGGCGAAGGGTCACGTTTACGTCTAGTCAAATAAAATACACGACCCGACTGGTTCAAACCACTGCTCCCGACCGGCCGTAGCGTGGAGGACCGGGCGTGCCTCGATGCCGCTCGCGCACCGGTGCTGCACGGCCATCAGCAGCGGGGACTCCTCGGCCGCCTCCATGTTGACGTCAGCCTGGCGCAGCGCACGCTCTCGGCCGCTGGCGCGCTCACCTGGGTGGCCCTCCCCCCCCCCGCTCCCACTACCGCCGCGCCTCCCCAGACATCCGGCAGCTCCAATGCGTTTTCAAAATGTGGCTCTCGCCTTAGCGCCACGCACATTCTTTTTTAAAAGTTATAAAAGATGTAAGAGCTTCACGGATTGAGGGCGGCTCCATTTTGAAATGTGGCTCTCGCCCTAGCGCTGCGCGCATTCGCTTATGAAATTTGGATTAGCTCGACGGATTCCCATGATCGACATACCACAAATGGCGTTTTGGAAAAATTGTGGGTTATGCGGGTGCAACAATTATTTCCCGGAAAGGGCTCCGGCCCAGGGTTCTCTTTTTACTAGGTAAACTAGTCCCCCGGTGCCTGCTTGAAGGAGGCCGGCGAATTTTTTCCCTGATAAATAACGAGCCGGCGAATTGCCGGCGAATTTTTTCCCTGGTAAATAACGAGCCGGCGAATTGCCGGCGAATTTTTTCCATGATAAATAACGAGCCGGCGAATTAAAATTTGAGGATGTCTTGAGCGAAACGCTTGTTTCCATGCACGGCCCCACCCCAGCCAGACCACATACCAGCACGACCACACTCCAGCACGACCTCACCATAGCACGACCACTCCCCAGCTCGATCACGCCCCAGCACGACCACGCCCCAGCACGACCACTCCCCAGCACGACCACCTCCCAGCACGACCCCCCCCCCCCAGCACGACCACTCCCCCAGCACGACCACCCCCCCAGCGCGACCACCTCCCAAAACTCGCGCTGGCTCCCTTCCCGTGTCGTGAAAACGTTTCCACGCATGCGGTTCTATATCCTCCTCCTCCTCCTCCTCCAACTTCCGTTGTTCGAGTGGCTCTCCGCGCCCGCGGGCGGGGCCGCGCGTCGCTTGCCTCCCAGGGTCAGCCGGGGGACTCCCCCGCGGGCGCGCGCTTGCCCGCGGACGGGCCGCGCGGCCCCTGGGCCGTTTGGCGATTGCACCCCCAGGGTCATGCCGCCCGCGGCCGTGTTGGTGTGCATGGCGGAGTACGCAGAGTTCGCCATGAGTTGGCTGGCGCTCTGCGGCGCCCTGGCGCTCATGGCGCCGAAGAGGCCGGGCGGCAAGGAGCAGGGCAAGGGGCCCAAGAAGGTCAAAGTGGGCGACGTCTCCGCCGCTCCCCCTGCGGACGGTCGCGCCGAGGTAGACGCCTCCGCGTCCAGCGGCGCCGAGGTAGACGCCTCCGCGTCCAGCGGTATGCCGCCTGCGGACGGTCGCGCCGAGGTAGACGCCTCCGCGTCCAGCGGGATGCCGCCTCCTCCGCTGGGGACGGCCGACTTCGATGGTGGCCGCGGCGTGGTCAGGAGGCCGTACAATTGCGACTTCTGCGACGCAAGTTTCCCTGTCTCCTCGTTCTTGGTGCCGTGTGACGACCAGGGCAACGTGCCCCAAGGTTCGGCCCGCGTCGCCAGGGGCATGCAGATCATCGCGGACATGTGTGGCGAGAAGCAGGAGTTCAAGAATATCATCGACATCGACGAGGACAAGCCCGATTTGCGCCACATGTGCTTCTCGTGTTTCGGCGTGCGCACCGAGGGCGACTCCGAGTACTATGTCAAGGAGAGGGACGGCGACAAGGTGCGCTTGCATGCTTCGTTTGGGAACGTGCGGAAGAGGTACTTCGGGCGCGACTCGAGGTCCGAGGCCGACGTGTTGCAGCACTTGGCGGCGAAAGCGTTCGACCGAATGCCGTCCGACGTGACCTGGGACGAGGTCTACCACAAGGTGTGCGTCCAGAGCGAGGTGGCCGCTGCTGGGGATTTCCACGTCGTGCTGGGCGGCGGCGTGCTGCTCATGTACAGCTGCCCCAAATGCTTCTTCCTCCCGGTGAACCCGAAATTCTGGCTCCGGTGCGTGAAGTCCCAGCATCGGCACGAGCCGGGTAAAGACGCCGAGGGAGGACACTGGCGCTGCCCGTTCGAGGGTTGCCTGGAGAAGTGGACGTGGGGAGCTGCCGGGAAGTTGCGGGTCATCCTCATCCCGGAGGTCGAGGGGGGCGGCCTGCAGAAGATGGTCATTGGAGCGACGTCCGAGAGCCAGGAGCACACCATTACCTTGCTCAAGTCCGCGAAGCTGCTGGAGACAGTGAAGCGCGCGGACGGCTCCATCCAGCAGATCGGCACGGCTGCGCTGGTGGCCGCAATCAAGAAGCTCAACGAGGAGGCGCAGGGACAGGTGCTGGCCTCCGGGCTCCAGGTGCACAACAAGAGAACGGCGGGGAAGGTGGAGATCAAGAATAAGGGCCTGTTCCCGTATTGCTCCGACCCCGCCCTCATGCTGGGCCACCCGGGCGCGACGTGCAGGGCGTTGCATCTCCCCCCGGACACGCCGGCCATCTCGCCGGGCTTCCTGCAGGAGGTCCTCGACGTGCTCGTGTGCTTTTACGACTTGTCTCAGTGCAAGGTGGGCGGCGGCCGCGCAATCCGGGAGGCGTACCGGGCTGCCGTCGCCACGCAGAACGCCAAACGCGGCGTCTACTTCCCGGGGTGAGCTTTTCTCACTGCTCCTCTCCCCTTCCTCCCCGGGCAGTGCACCCTCAGGGTCAGCCCCCGTCTCGCTTTCTCCCTGCTCGGCATTGCACCCTCAGGGTCAGCCGGTTTCCCTGTTCGCCTTGCCTCCTCTTCCGTTTTCGCTGCGCAGATCAGGTCAGTTGGCTCGACAGCGCGGCGCAGGCTTGGGCATTGCACCCTCAGGGTCAGCCCTCGCCCCCGCGTCTTTCGCTCGGCTCATGGCAGGACATCTGCAGGTGCCCGCCAGCGTCACCTGCCGCGGCATAAACGAAGACGCAGCAGGGTAGTCGGCGCGCCGCTCGCCATCGCTTCGACGGTCACAGTATAAAGTTTAAGCGCTTCGCGCACCCCCCATCGGCCCATCCAGAAACGATGTCCACACGAGTTGAGGTGATCAGGGAAGTGCGGGATCAAAGATGGGGACAGCCGAACCGCACTCTTGAGCGCTTTTGCGGCCGCATCCGAGCTCCCTTGGGCATCTTTCGGGGCCCTCATGGGCCATCACGGGGCAATCTGGAGGCTCTGGGAGGCCATCGGAAGCGAGCGGGCAACAATGCCAAAACCATTGGTTTTCCACTTGTTCCCCATATCCTATGATGGGGTTCTTTGTGTTACTTCACCGCGCCTGAGGAACAGGAACAGGAAGGAAGGACCACAGGATCACACCTACTCACTCAACACTCAGACTTATAAGCCTGAATTTGCAGGAAGTCTCAGGCGGAAGCCTCGTCTCTGAGTGAATTGTGAGGAAGTCTCAGGCGGGAGCCATATGGGGCCCGCAGATCATGTTGGTAATCCGAGGCCACCCAGGTGCACTCAACAGGTCCGTAACCATTTTGGGTTCAAGCATGTTGATTCTGACCCACGCTATCTCTCGGAGACAGCGATGCTTCAGGTTGCCCGTCCACGGTTGGTGAACGATTCCTTCTTGCGCGTGTTCTTCCAGATGTGGAAGGCTGTGGGCCATGCCAACAAGTACCCGCTCATGCAAACCGCCGATGACATCATATACGATCCAAGGAGGTGCCTCACCTTGCACATGTACGACTTAAATGCAGAGTTCAAGCCTCATTTGAACCGGCTCTACGACCAGTTCTACAATGTATTCAGTGAGGCTGGCTGCAGGGACACGATTGGCATCATCGGGCTTGCTACGACGCATATCTGCTGGCCACATATCAAAATGCTCTCGTACAGGGGGGCCGTCTGGGACAGGAAGCGCTGGTTTGACCCAGGCAACTTCGTGTACACGCTGTTCTGGCTGTTGCTGGGGCAGATGGCGCACCACGTTCTCGGCCGCCGAGGCCCTTCCCCGAATGTCAGATTGGTGGCGAGCAAGTGGAAGGTGCTTCAAAAGATGGTGCGCACAAGGTGGCCTCGCACACATGACACCAACCACTGGCTCGAACTCCACGGCGACTTGCTGGAGATGACACTCGGAGTCGGGTACATGGATCAGGATCGGTATTGGGGCGTGATTCGTGCGTTGTCGCCGATCCTCGCCGAGATCTCAGATATCGTGACGTTTATAGACGTGCATGGTGCCGCATCTAGGGTTGGACGGAACGGCCCATTTTTCAGGGGTGGTGCAGCGCCGTACACGCGCAAGCTCGCAGTGTCAATGTACCACGCCATGCTTGTGCAAAAGTTCAGTGTTGGCCCTGATGCACAGAATTGGGCCGACTTCCTGAATGTTGCCAGCCATCACAGGCTGATGTATTGATGGCCTGCACTGGGCCTTCGCTGAATAGTGCTTGTACAGCACCCACGTTGCATGCAGTCTGGCCATTGCACACAATCTGGCCATAGGACCAAAACAGGGTGTACTACGACGGCGGCGGCCCTCCTCCTCATCCTCCTCCTCGGGCCAGACCCTAGCGGCCCTCCTCCTCCTCCTCCTCGGGCGGCCCCAGGGGACCGTTTCGGACCAGACCCTAGCGGCCCTTCTTCTCCTCCTCGCCCTCCTCCTCTTCCCCCCTTGATCTCTCGAACCCCGTCTTCGTCGTCGCCCGCGCGACGGATCGCAGATAATCCACCCCATTCGAGGGTGCAAGGCGGGGATAAGGAGGGTTGTTTCACGGTGCCCTCCTCCGAGAGGAAGAGGAGGAAGAGGAGTGGGAGGAGGAAGAGGAGGAGGAGGAAGAGGAGGAGAAGGAGAACGATGATGATGATGATGATGATGATGATGATGATGATGATGATGATGATGATGATGATGATGATGATGATGATGATGATGATGAGAATGATGATGAGGAGGATGAGGAGGAGGAGGAGGAGGAGGCGGAGAAGAGGAGGAGGAGGAGGGCCCGCAGCAGTTCAAGAAAACCCCCAAGAGGACGCCGAGTTTTCAAGAGCGGCTGGCATTAATCTCAAGGATTCCTCGCGTTTCATGCGACATAACGAGATGCGCCAAAATTCTCAAAAAGTAGCTTTTTCTTGATCCTCCACTTTTTCGTGTCGGAGGGCTTCTGCTCTGGATATGGATTTCGTCATGTATTTTGCATGATTGTGGCTGTACGCCTTGAAAACTGGAGCGGCCGGTTGTTTGGTTGGCTCCCGCATCGGGGATAGACATACACGGCGACAGCTCCTTAGGAATTCCACCCCAAGGCGGCCCCCAAGAGGTCCTTCCCGGGTGCTGGGGCGTATTGCAATCGTCGCTTGCTTTAATATTGTATTGAACATGTCGTAGCCATTTTGGCTCTTGGCTCAAATATCTTTGCGCATTTGCGACGAAGTGTTGTTGGAGAGGCCTTGCGGCCGGTGCCGCCGACCCTGAACGACGACGACGACGAGCGCTCTCGGGAGCTCTCGGGGGTAGTTCGGCGGCCTCTTGGGAGGCTCTTGGGGTCTCTTGGGAGCCTCGTTGGGGCTTCCTGGGCGCCCTTCTGGCGGAGGGCTGGATATGTTCGTTCGGGTCCCACGTATGGGCTCCCTCTTGGAGCCGTCCTCGGGGCCTCCTGGGCCGTCTTCGGAGCCTCTTGGGTCCTCGTGGGGCCGTCTTGGGTTGTCTTGGGGCGATCTTGGGGGCCTCTTGGGCTGTCTTGGAGCGCCAGAAATTGTCCAAGGAGGGCGTTTCCTTCCCCGGCATTGCACCCTCAGGGTCAGCCGGTCTCACCGTTATCCTTTCCTGCTCGCCGCCGGGCATTGCACCCTCCGGGTCAGCCCTCGTCCTCGGTCTTTTCCTGCCCCGGCATTGCACCCTCAGGGTCAGCCGGCCCCCCCGTTCGCCTCTCCTCCTCTCCGCCGGGCAGTGCACCCTCAGGGTCAGCTCATGTCCACCCTCTCTTAATATTGTATTGAACATGTCGTAGCCACTTTGGCTCTTGGCTCAAATATCTTTGTGCATTTGCGACGAACAGTTGTTCGAGAGGCCTTGCGGCCGGTGCCGCCGACCCTGAACGACGACGACGACGAGCGCTCTCGGGAGCCTCTCGGGGGTAGTTCGGCGGCCTCTTGGGAGGTTCTTGGGGTCTCTTGGGAGCCTCGTTGGGGCTTCCTGGTCGCCCTTCTGGCGGAGAGCTGGATATGTTCGTTCGGGTCCCACGTATGGGCTCCCGCTTGGTGCCGTCCTCGGGGCCTCCTGGGCCGTCTTGGGAGCCTCTTGGGTCGTCGTGGGGCCGTCTTGGGTTGTCTCGGGGCGATCTTGGGGGTTCCTTGGGCTGTGTTGGAGCGCCAGAAATTGTTCACGGAGGGCGCTGTGCAGGCGCTTGCGGCAGATCCGAGCTTGCCTCTTTGCTCCGCGCCCCGCCGTGCTCCCGTTCGCCTTTTCCTTCTCTCCGCTGGGCAGTGCACCCCCAGGGTCAGCCCCCGCCCCCGCACGTTTCCTTCCCCGGCATTACACACCTTCAGGGTCATCCGGTCTCACCGTTATCCTTTCCTGCTCGCCGCCGGGCATTGCACCCTCCGGGTCAGCCCTCGTTCTCGGTCTTGTCTTGTCCCAGCATTGCACCCTCAGGGTCAGCCGGCTCCCCCGTTCGCCTCTCCTCCCTTCCGCCGGGCAGTGCACCCTCAGGGTCAGCAGGAGGAGGGCCCGCAGCAGCCCAAGAAAACACCCAAGAGGACGCCGAGTTTTCAAGAGCGGCTGGCATTAATCTCCAGGATTCCTTGCGTTTCATGCGACATAACGAGATGCGCGAAAACTCTCCAAAAGTAGCTTTTTCTTGATCATTCACTTTTTCGTGTCGGAGAGCTTCTGCTCTGGATATGGATTTCGTCATGTATTTTGCACGATTGTGGCTGTACGCATTGAAAACTGGAGCGGCCGGTTGTTTGGTTGGCTCCCGCATCGGGGATAGACATACACGGCGACAGCTCCTTAGGAATTCCACCCCAAGGCGGCCCCCAAGAGGTCCTTCCAGGGTGCTGGGGCGTATTGCAATCGTCGCTTGCTTTAATATTGTATTGAACATGTCGTAGCCATTTTGGCTCTTGGCTCAAATATCTTTGCGCATTTGCGACGAACTGTTGTTGGAGAGGCCTTGCGGCCGGTGCCGCCGACCCTGAACGACGACGACGACGAGCGCTCTCGGGAGCTCTCGGGGGTAGTTCGGCGGCCTCTTGGGAGGCTCTTGGGGTCTCTTCGGAGCCTCGTTGGGGCTTCCTGGGCGCCCTTCTGGCGGAGGGCTGGATATGTTCGTTCGGGTCCCACGTATGGGCTCCCTCTTGGAGCCGTCCTCGGGGTCCCTGGGCCGTCTTGGGGGCCTCTTGGGTCCTCGTGGGGCCGTCTTGGGTCGTCTTGGGGCGATCTTGGGGGTTCCTTGGGCTGTGTTGGAGCGCCAGAAATTGTTCACGGAGGGCGTTTCCTTCCCCGGCATTGCACCCTCAGGGTCAGCCGGTCTCACCGTTATCTTTTCCTGCTCGCCGCCGGGCATTGCACCCTCGGGGTCAGCCCTCGTCCTCGGTCTTTTCCTGCCCCGGCATTGCAACCTCAGGGTCAGCCGGCCCCCCGTTCGCCTCTCCTCCTCTCCGCCGGGCAGTGCACCCTCAGGGTCAGCTCATGTCCACCCTCTCTTAATATTGTATTGAACATGTCGTAGCCACTTTGGCTCTTGGCTCAAATATCTTTGTGCATTTGCGACGAACAGTTGTTCGAGAGGCCTTGCGGCCGGTGCCGCCGACCCTGAACGACGACGACGACGAGCGCTCTCGGGAGCCTCTCGGGGGTAGTTCGGCGGCCTCTTGGGAGGTTCTTGGCTCAAAAATCTGCGGCCGGTGCCGCCGACCCTGAACGAACCCGACGCCTTCGGGTCCTTCGTATGGGCTCCCTCTTGGAGCCGTCCTCGGGGCCTCCTGGGCCGTCTTGGGGGCCTCTTGGGTCGTCGTGGGGCCGTCTTGGGTCGTCTTGGGGCGATCTTGGGGGCCTCTTGAGTTCTCTTGTCTTGCCTTCTCGCCGCCGGGCATTGCACCCTCCGGGTCAGCCCTCGTTCTCGGTCTTTTCTTGTCCCAGCATTGCACCCTCAGGGTCAGCCGGCTCCCCCGTTCGCCTTTCCTCCCTTCCGCCGGGCAGTGCACCCTCAGGGTCAGCCCATGTCCACCCTCTCTTAATATTGTATTGAACATGTCGTAGCCATTTTGGCGCAATGCTGGCGCGGAAGCGCCCTGCGGCGTCCGACTTCGCCGCTTCCCGTTACGCTGCTGATGTTTGGGGCCTCGCGGGAGGCAGGGGCAAGCGCGGCCGCAGGAAGAGGACGGCCGCCGCGGACGAAGGGCCGCAGGTGGAATGTAGAGATTACTCCAACTGCAACCAGCGCAACGAGGACGCGTGTAAGGACCTGCTGATTTCTCTGGCCACGGATGACTTGCGAGGGCGCCTGACGCGCAGCCGCTACGACCTGGAGAGTGCCCGGCGCTCGGAACGGCTGAGACAGATCGAGGCGGGGATAGCGCTCGATGACGACTGGTTGGAGGAGGCGGCGAGTGCCTTCAACGTCCCTACCCGCAAGAGGAAGCAAATGCAGGTCGTGGAAGACGTCCTGGAGGCCGTGCGACAGACCCGACAGCGGGCCCCGGGCACGGCGACCGCCATGGACGCCGATCGCAGGGAGGCGACGCAGAGGGATATCCAGAGGCCGCAAGGTGTAGACGCGCTGAGGGATGAGCTGCTAGTCAGATCTAGTTCGGAGGATCTGCGCCTGCGCGTGGTGGGCGAGTGCCTCCAGCGGCGCGGAGGCTGGCCCGCCGAGGCAGCAGACCTCGGCGGCGACGCCCCGGGGCCGTCTGGCGATTACACCCCCAGGGTCAGCCGGGCGGCTTCGCCGGGCGCCATGCTGGCGCGGAAGCGCTCTGCGGCGTCCGACTTCGCCGCTTCCCGCTACGCTGCTGATTTTTGGGGCCTCGCGGGAGGCAGGGGCAAGCGCGGCCGCACGAAGAGGACGGCCGCCGCGGACGAAGGGCCGCAGGTGGAATGTAGAGATTACTTCTACTGCAACCAGCGCAACGAGGACGCGTGTAAGGACCTGCTGATTTCTCTGGCCACGGATGACTTGCGAGGGCGCCTGACGCGCAGCCGCTACGACCTGGAGAGTGCCCGGCGCTCGGAACGGCTGAGACAGATCGAGGCGGGGATAGCCCTCGATGACGACTGGTTGGGGGAGGCGGCGAGTGTCTTCAACGTCCCTACCCGCAAGAGGAAGCAAATGCAGGTCGTGGAAGACGTCCTGGAGGCCGTGCGACAGACCCGACAGCGGGCTCCGGGCACGGCGACCGCCATGGACGCCGATCGCAAGGAGGCGACGCAGAGGGATATCCAGAGGCCGCAAGGTGTCGACGCGCTGAGGGATGAGCTGCTAGTCAGATCTAGTTCGGAGGATCTGCGCCTGCGCGTGGTGGGCGAGTGCCTCCAGCGGCGCGGAGGCTGGCCCGCCGAGGCAGCAGACCTCGGCGGCGACGCCCCGGGGCCGTCTGGCGATTACACTCCCAGGGTCAGCCGGGCGGCTTCGCCGGGCGCCATGCTGGCGCGGGAGCGCCCTGCGGCGTCCGACTTCGCCGCTTCCCGCTACGCTGCTGATTTTTGGGGCCTCGCGGGAGTCAGGGGCAAGCGCGGCCGCACGAAGAGTACGGCCGCCGCGGACGAAGGGCCGCAGGTGGAATGTAGAGACTACTTCTACTGCAACCAGCGCAACGAGGACGCGTGTAAGGACCTGCTGATTTCTCTGGCCACGGATGACTTGCGATGGCGCCTGACGCGCAGTCGCTACGACCTGGAGAGTGCCCGGCGCTCGGAACGGCTGAGACAGATCGAGGCGGGGATAGCGCTCGATGACGACTGGTTGGGGGAGGCGGCGAGTGTCTTCAACGTCCCTACCCGCAAGAGGAAGCAAATGCAGGTCGTGGAAGACGTCCTGGAGGCCGTGCGACTGACCCGACAGCGGGCCCCGGGCACGGCGACCGCCATGGACGCCGATCGCAGGGAGGCGATGCGCAGGCGCACGTGGAGCTCCATGGCCGCGTTGCACGAGGCGAAGGTCTGGGGTATGCGCGCGACGCAGAGGGATATCCAGAGGCAGCAAGGTGTCGACGCGCTGCGGGATGAGCTGCTAGTCAGATCTTGTCCGGAGGATCTGCGCCTGCGCGTGGTGGGCGAGTGCCTCCAGCGGCGCGGAGGCTGGCCCGCCGAGGCAGCAGACCTCGGCGGCGACGACCTCTGGGCGCGCCGCTATTTGCACAGCGCGATGGCCCGAAGGTACGCCAGCGCCTCCACTGGCGAGCAGCTCTTGCCGGGCGACGTGGCGCGGTGGCAGGAGCTGCTCGACAGGATCCCGGAGGCGCAGCGGCCCACCTGGCAGGCGGACCCTCTGCGCCAGCAGTTGCAGGCCCACTACGAGGAGCATGGCCACCTGAACGTGAGGCCCTCGACCAGGAGGGCCGACGATCCCGATCGCCTTCTACTCGAAGCTTTGAAGGTCCTGCGCCGCGCACGGCTGGAGGATGTCAGGGGCGAGCGCGGCCATCTGCTGCGCCGGCAGCTCTCGCCCGGGGACATGGCCGCGTGGGAGACGGCGGTCCCGGCCAACGTGTTGTGGGGCACGGTGCGCCAGGCCGAGGCGTATATCCCTGGCAGCGCTATTCTCGGCAGCCGGTGCGAATGGCCCAGAGAGCCCGTCTGCTGCCAGCCGTGCCCGTGCTATCTTTGCGGCCAGGACTTCGCCACGAAGCAGTTGTTGCAGGAGCACTGGCGCGAGGAGCACGTGAACCTGCCCGAGGCCGAGCGGGGCTTGCTGGCGCCGCGGCGAGTGGAGGAAGAGGTCCGAAAGAGAATCCTTGCGGACGAACAGCTGGAGGGCCCCTTCGAGGTCCGGGGCGCTGAGCAGCGCCGCGCGCTCGGACGATTCGCGGAGAACCAGACGCAGAGCCGACCGGGGGGTGCGTGGGCCGGGCACTTCGAGAGCCAGCAGACCGCCCCGACCACTTGCCGCGCCCTGAGCGGCTGCGTTGTCTGCGCGCGCTCTTTCTGGCTGGAGGACCTCTTCGACGCGGACTTGTTCGTGGAGCTCGTGGACCCCGAGCTGGCAGCGGGCGCCGGCGATCCCGCGGCGGACGGCGCCCAGGGGCACGGCGCGGAAGGCGTGCCGGCGGACGCGCCTGCGCGTCACCCCCGGGGGCACCTGGAGCCGCCGCCCGCCGAGGACGCGGCCCCGCCGCGCCGGGCTCGCTTCGCGGTGCAGCCCGAGGCCGCCGCGAAAGTCCACGCGCTCCTCTCCGTGGAGCGCTATGCCGCGAGGTGGCCGCTGATCCCGCGGCACGAGCTGTGGGCCTCCAGCGAGCCGCACCCGCGCAGGCCCGAGTGGCGGTGGCTGCTGCACGTTCGCAGGTTGCCCTGCCTTAGCCTCGACGAGCACGGGCGGGCCCCGCTGGTGAAAGTGTGTTTCGATTGCGGCAAGACCTTGGAGGGCGCGCCGGCAGTGAAAATGCCAATGTACGCCCTGGCGAACGACAACTGGATCGGCCGAGTCCCTTTTCCTCTCCGGCCTGGCGGCGAGCCGTTGCGGGACATGGAGCTGCGATCGCTAGCCAGGGGCCGCGTGTGCGTGAACAAGATCATCGCCGAGCCCGAGAAGAGAGGCCCTCGAGACGAACGGCAGGGGGGGCTCGTTGGGAACTTTATCTGTTTCCCGCAGGCGAAGGTTTGGGGCGGTCTCCAGCTGCGCTCCTGGGGGCGCGCGCCAGCACGTCGTCGGAACTCCGTCGGAACCTCCCCCGGATGTTTCAGGGGCGCGGGGAGAGGTTCCGGGGGGATGTTTCAGGGGCGCGTGCGGGGGATGTCCGGGGGATGTTTCAGGGGCGCGGGGAGATCAGAGTCCGGGGCAGGTTCCGACGAGCCGGTCAGATGTTGGATTCCAGGGGAGGGCGATTTCTGCCGTTGCTGGCGCGCGTGGCCCAGGCGGCGCGCCTGGAGACGTCTCGCAAGGTGGATCTCCTGCGCAGCGCCGAGCTGCCCGCCCCCCCTGCCGAGGCGCAGCGATTCCTCGCTGAGTCCGTCGTCATTGCCCTGGCAGGGGCCGACGTGGACGACCTCAGCAAGGCCCGGTGGGCCAACGTGCGCAAGGGCGAATACATGGGGGCCGCCAGCTTCCTGACCTCCCATTCGGTCTCGTACAACGACATGACCTGCAACCAGGACAGGGCAGACGCCGTCATGAGCGACGCCGGCGCCGTCCCCGAGGCCGTGCGAAGCATCGCAATCCCCATTGAGGTCTCCGAGCAGCTGAAGCACCGGCTGGAGGGCCCCGCCGACGCCTGCGCCGGGGCCGACGAGCAAGTCGTCAGGGTGGACGGGGAGGAGTGCGTGTCCGAGCACGAGGCAGAGGAAGAGGAGGGGGAGAACGATCTCAACGCCGCGCTGCCCGACCCGGACTTCCCCGCCGAGGCGCTCCCGGCGATGTCTTTCTGCGCCGATGCCGCGACCGGCGGCGACCTCGACGAGCTCCAGGCGATCCGCAAGGTGCACGGTGAGCTCGAGGCTCTGCAGGATTCCATGCGCGAGGAGGCCTCCGGCATGGGCTACCCGCGCCGGCGCCTCATCAAGCAGCTTCAGGTCAGCGCCAGAGGCATGCTGGATCGCGGCTTGGCGGACAGGATCCACCACCACCACAAGACGGTGACGGCCCTGGAGGAGACGGGCCAACGGGCGGCGGCTCCCGGAGGCGCGATGGAAGGGTATGCCCAGGGCACTGCCACACAGCCGCTCTCGATGTACAGCCCCGAGCTCTGGTCCATGTGCTTCCCCGACAAGTTCCCGTACGGCGACGGCGTGTTCGGCTTGTCCAGGACTGCGCCCATGTCGTTCCATCAGTGCACGTCAATGCACTTGCTCCGCGAGGAGCTGGTGTACCAGGTCACGCCCGAAGATTTGGCCGCGGCCGCCGCTTGCAAGGCGTGGGTCGAGACCGCCGCGGACGGGCCCGGCGCGACCGGGCAGTCTCGCCCCTCCGGCGGCTCCTGCGCCTGCCAGCAGTGCAGAGAGGCGTGCCGGCGCTACGTCGCGCCCGAGCAGCCGCGCTGGGGGGCCGACCGCGATCTCATTTGCTGCTACTACGACGCCGGGCGCCGCATCGAGCAGATCCGCAGGGCCAGGGGCCACGTGCACAGAACGGGCTTCCAGGAGCGCCTTGAGAAGATCTGCGCGGCTTCCACGGAGAAGCTCGATGCCGCCGTGCAGAGCCTAGGGCCGAATGCGTCCCTGAAGGACGCGATGCGGTCCCCCGCCGTGGACCAGGACGTCAAAGACGCGCTCTCCGAGCTCATGGTGTTCACCTCAGAAGTTCTCGGCTCGGACGGCGCGCGCGCGAAATTGCGCCACGAGCAGAACGGCTTCGCCCTCATGTTCGGCGGCGCCGGTGGCTTTCTGACTCCGAACGTCGCGGACGTGCGGAGCCCCATCTTGCTTGCCCTGCACGCGGCGGGGGGCTGCGAGACCCGCGCCGTGGACCTCCTCGCGGAAGCCCCGGACATGCCCTCCGCGCGGAAGATGCTCCAGATCGTGGCGCAGGACCCGGTGGCCCAGGCCCGCTTCTTCATCTTTAGCATGAAGCTTTTCTGCGAGCACGTGCTGGGCACCGGCCCCTGGGACTTCCACCTGCGCCACAACGGCCGTTGCGACGGGGCGGCTTTCCCCGATGGCTTCGCCACTTCGTGCACGGGCGGAGCCTTCCTCATGTTGGCGGCGCTGCACGGGCCCATCGAGGAGCAGGCCCGGCTGTCCATCCACCCGCACATCCTCCTGTGGTTCGTGCACGCGCAGTCCGAGCAGTGGCTCCGGTGCGTGCTCAACAGGGAGACCGAGGAGATCCGGCAGCGGCTCCGCGTGTGGCAGGAGAAGACCTTGGCCGCAGTGCAGTCCATGCAGCTGGACTCAGCGGCCGTGCTCCCGCTGCTCCTCACCGACGACCCCGACCGGGCGCCCGAGCCCAGGAACACGCCCTTCTCCGAGAAACTGCAGCGGGATTGCCGCATGGATGGGGAGCTGGAGCACGACGTGGAAGAGCCGGAGAAACGGCGCGTCTTCTTGGCCACAGAGCCCCCGTTCGAGGACCACCACCTCCGACGGCATCGGATGTCCTTGGCGCCCGAGGCGCGACCCATGAGCGAATACATGGTGCCCCAGACGGGCGCCCAGCTCTGTCGCCTCGAGCACTACAGGCTGCTGCGCCCGACCACGGGCGACGACCTGGAGACCGCGGCGGGCCGGAGCGCGGAGGCGGCGGCCTGGGCCGCGCGCTACGCCGAGGATTACCGCCAGGACATCGCCGTGGGCCAGATGCACCAGCACAAGGACACGTGCTTCAAGTACGTTGTCGAGAAGTCCATGCGCTTCGCGCGGCACTGCCGCTTCAACTTCTGCCACTTCGTCAAGCTCTGGCTCCGCGTCGGCGACGGCGGGGACTCCTCGGCGCAGCAGAAGCGCTCCAAGAAGCTGGTGACCTTGGCGCGGACCGGCAAAGACCTCGTGCTGCCGCGGGGGCCAGGGGAACCGGAGCCCGACATGTTCCCCCTGGACGAGGACGGCGCGCCCGTGCCCCTGCGCCCCGGGCGCAAACTCGGCCCGGTCGTCAACGTCGATCCAGACCATGGGAAGCAGGGTCTGGTCATGCCCATTCGCTGGAACCCGATGGAAGGCAGCTCCAACGGCGTGGCCCAGACGGCGCTGAACTGCAACGTGGACTTCCAGAGTATGATGCGCACTTTCATTGACGGATTTAATGTCCAGACGCGGGACGGGCTGCGCGACCCGCCCCTCTCGGCGGACGACGAGGCCTCGCTCGAGGCGGAGGAGGACGAGAAGTTCGAGGCAAGCTTCGCCGCGAACATGCAGAAGCTTGCGGCCGCCCGCAAGAGGGCCAACAAACCAGAGCTGGAATATGAGGAGGCGGAGATGAGGCTCCGGCAACAGCGAGCCGCTCGCAGGGCGGCGTATCTGAGGTTGGGCCCGGCCGAGCGCTTCAGGCGCAGTATCAAAGCAATGACCGTCAGCATTATGAAGCAGTCCGTTCAGGCCATGTTCTACGCTTGCGACTACTCCACGAAGCCGAACATGACCTGCGCGCCGCTCCTGGTCGCGGTTCGCGACGGCATTCGGCGCCTGGAGGAGCGGCTCCGCACCGAGGAAGAGGCGGCGGCAGCGGCGGAGGCGGAGGGGGCAGCGCCGGTGCCGAAGCCGTCGGCGAGGGGGCCCGCGCTGAGCAAGGTCGGAGGGCGTTGGGAATTTTGCAGAAAATCGAGGGGGCGGGGAGCTCGAGCTTAAGACCCGAATCGGTTCGCGCTGATATCGGAAGCCTGACTCTCACCAGCTGCGCAGGTTTCAAGGCGCTGCCCGCCCGCCCCCCGTGCGGACGTGAAGATTAAATGTCGAGAACGCACGTTTTGATTTCGCGCGGTTCTCTGCGCCTCGAGACGGCGCGGGGCCGGGCTCCCTATTGCAATCTGCGGGCCCAGGGAGTTCGAGCTGAAAATCCAAATCAGTTCGCGACGCTGCCGGCCGTCATGGGCAACCTCTGTACGAACTGATTTGGATCTTAAGCTCGAGCTGCCCGGGCGCGCAAGTTCCTGACGGGAACCTGGCTCTCCTTGGATGCGTGGCTATTTGTTGCTCTGCGCCTCGGCATTTCAACGTTCACGTCCAGATCAGCTCGCGCTGATTTCGAACGCCAGGGGCGACGCCTCAACGAACTGATTCGGATCTGAAGCTCGACCTGCCTCAGGTCCAGGACGAGGCTCGGCGGCGCTTGATCCGACAGGCCACCGCTGCCAACCAGGCCATCGTGAAGGGGAACTGCCTCATGGTCATGCAGATGCTCACCCGACGCGAGGTGCTGCGGTCCCACTCCACCTGGCAGTTGATGATGAAGAACGCCATGTGGCTGGCCTTCGAGAGCCGACGAATTCGGCAGGGGTTCGACGAGCGCGAGCAGCTGCACGAGGCCACGGTGCTCCTCGACGCCGCGGAAGTGGACAGCCAGGCCACTGACTCGGACGATTGTGACAGCGAGCCCGAGGAGCGCGACGAGAGCGCCGACGGCGACGCCGCCGACGAGGCTTCAGACATCCCAGAGGCACCGCGCAATCATGCGTCGCCGCTGGGCACACGCGGCGAGAGTCCGGCTGGGCCGCGGAGGCGCCCCGCAGCGATTGCACCCGCAGGGTCAGCTGCGCGCCCGGCGCCGCCGCCGGCCAGCGTTGCCGCCGAGCTCGGTTCTGCTGCCTCCACGCAGGTCGCGGCCGCGGGCGGCGCGCCCACAGACGATCTCTTCGCGGCGCGCGGGGAGCGCGGCCCTTTCTTGGCCGAGGAGGCCACGGACGAGCCGCAGCAGAGAAACGCGGGGGTCCGCCTGAAGAGCAACAGCTACTACGACGACTACTTGCACCGCGGCTCCGCCGAGTTCGGCGCGTCGGGTCGAGCGGCGAAGACTCCCCTGGCCTCCATGTCGTATTACGACTACGGCATGTGGGTGCGCGTCGTGCCCGGGGACCCGAACGCCCTGGCGCCAGACGAGTACGCTTTCGCCGGTCACTACGGGAAGCATGCCGACTACGTCCAGCAGCTGCGGGCCGCGCCGGCCGCGCCGTACATCTCCGGCTTCACGATGCCGACCGAAGAGAAGGACCCGGAGACGACCGCCTGTTTCAAGCAGGTGTTGTTGAGGCCGCATGCGTGCCCGGGGCCGGACAGCTGTCGCCAGGTGCACTTCGCCCAGCACTTCTGCTGCGCGTCCCGCAGCAGGGAGGGGGGGCGAGCCAGGGGTCGCGCCTCTCTCTCCTTCCTGGGACCTTGGCGCGCGTATCGCGCCGAGCAGCTCGTCCTGGCGAAGCGGGCCGACCAGGCCCTGCAGCGCTCGCGGCAATGCCCCGTGCTGCACGACACAACCGCCATCCGTTACTGGCATCTCCCCGGCACCGTGCGCGGGGGCCCGGTCCACGAGAGTTTCCTGCCGTTGCTCTGCGGCGGCCGCCATGCGACGGATCCTGGTTTGGACGGCACGTGGTGCCGCCGCCGCGAGATCCCGACCCCCGTCGCAGGCGCCGATCTGCAGCGGCCGTCGCGCGGAGCGGTGTGCTGGCGCATGGCCCTCCCGGTGGACCTCGCCTGGGCCGTGCTGCGCTTCGCGGGCGACGTCCGCGGCGACGACGGGCGGCGCCTGGGGGTCGCCGGCTCGGAGGAGGAGCGCGCTCGGCTCGACGAGCGGGCGGCCCTCGAGGGCGAGTCGATCGCCTGCGCCTGTCCTGGAGTTCACGACGACCAGCTGACCCCCGAGATGTTCTTCGCTGTTCGGCACGTGGAGGTGGCCGCCCGCCTGGAGTACATGGCCGAGGCCCGCGGGCTGCCGAAGCCGGCAAGGGGGCCCAGCGACGCGGTGGCGGAGGAGGAGCTCGGCGGAGATCGCTCCGACGATGACGGGGCCTTCGGCCTGGACGAGGCTCTGCCAGGTGAAGATTCCTCCGCGGAGGAGCGCCAGGAAGTGGCAGACGCGCGAGAGGACAAGGAGGGCATGAGACCTCGCTGGAGGCTGGCAGAGGACGAGTTCGACGACGTCGTGCACCGGACGGCGGCGGCCCAGGCGGCTAAGAGCAGTCGCGTGGGAGCGCACAAGAAAGCCTTGATGGAAACGTTCTTGCAGTTGCAACGCCGCGCTTACGCCTGCGTTCGGCAGCCCTGCGCCGTGCCCGAGCGCGCCCCTCGGCTGGCGGCGATGACTCCTGCTGACGTGCAGACCGCCAAAAAGAACCAGGACGCGATCCGCGAACAGAGGGCCGCCCAGGACGACAATCTGGAGGCCGCGGGCGCGGATCTGCCCGTCGCCGCGGCGGCCTTCTCCGACGCGCCCGCGCCGTCGAGGCGCCTCGGCCCGGAGGATGTGCCGATCTCCCCGCTGCAGGCGGCGCTGACCCTCATCGCCGAGTCTGGGGTCTGGAAGAGCAAGGAGCAGTACCTGGTGACGCTCTTCCTCCTTCAACCGATACAACAACTGTGGCAGAAGGCCCTCGAGACGGACGGCTTGGACAGCTTGTCCACGGCCGCGGGCCTCGCAGCGGCCTCGAGAGACGTGCAGGTCCGCCGCGTCTTCCTGCACGGCCCGGGGGGCTCGGGGAAGACGTATTGCATGACCGAGGTGGTCAACAAGGTGGTCGTGCGTTTCTTCGGGCACAGGGGGCTGAAGCTCGTGGCCGCGGCCAACAGCGCCGCCCGCATCCTCGGCGGCAAGACCATGCACGCGGCGGCGAAGCTGACGCGGAAGCAGTCTCTCGCGGCGAGTAAATTGAAACCCAACACCAGGGCGAAGAAGAAGTTGGAGGCCGAGTGGGAGTACCTTGTGCTCCTCCTCGCCGACGAGATCGGCCTGGCGTCCCCCCCGCTCCTTGCGGGCCTGAGTCGCCGCGCGACTTTCGGCCGCAAGGACTTGCTGCGGCTGTGCGTGGCGAGGGCCATCGAAGAGCCCTTCGGCCAGGTCCCCGTGCAGGCCATCATGGGCGACTTCAATCAGATCAACCCGGTCTGCAGCCACACGCTGCTGGAAGCCCTGCTGGCCCGCGCGCGCGTCCCCGGCGTGCCGCGGAAGATCACGGACGAGGACGAAGACGGCTGGAAGGTCTTCAGGAAGATGGCCTCCGACGTGGTCGTCTTCACTGGCACGCACCGCTTTCTCGACGAGGACCTACCGCTGCTTTTCGAGGTCATGCGCACTCCGGGCGGGGCGAGAGTGCCTGACGACTTGCGCGCGAAGATCAGAGATCGCGTCCAGCGGGGCCCCGACGACCCGAGGATGTCCATGGACTACGAACTGGAGGGCGTTCGGGGCTTCTTCGCCTTCGGCGCTCGCGCGGCGATCCAGTGGGAGCAGGTCGCGCGCCTGCAGCAGCTCCACGTGCTCGCCTCCGCGAGGGTCTGCCCTGGCCCCAGGGCCTTGCTCAACGGGGAGGACGGCCGGCCGGATCTTCGTCGCCACGGCTTCAGCGC